TGGGAAGTCCCATTCAAAATCACTACAAAATGCATAAAATGTCTGGGACTCATTCTACCAAAGTACATGAGATACCTGTATAAATATAATTACAAAATACTCCTTAAGGAAATATAACAACTTAAGTAAATGATGAGATATATTCAGTGCTCATGGCTGGGCCATGCCAACCTAATAAGAGAACAAAAGTACCAAGATTACTTTATAGATTCAGAGTAATGCTAGTCAGACAACCCAGGAAATAATTTGACAATATAGTAACAATTTATTTGGAAGAATAAAAAATCTGGGATTCCAAAGGTAACAACAACAATAAAGTAGAAATGAAAGGGGAATGGTACTTCCATAGCTGAAACTCTAATATAAATTCATAATCATCAAGATTATTTATCACTGGTTTAAAAAAAATTAGTGAAGTAGATCAATAAGTTAGACTTGGCAAAGAAGAATTAAAAACCCAATGTACAATAAGCCTTGAGTCATAAATTGTCTAGAAAAGAGAAATTAAACAAAGATTAGTTTAGTCTCAGTCTGAATGAGCTGAGAGGGCAAGGCTAGGATCAGTGAGTATGGGTTTCAAAAATACACACTCTTAGGCTTAATATTGGGAAGAAAGCTTTCTGAGAATTATAGGTGTCCAAAAATAGAACTGGCTGTCTTGGGAAGGTCCCCCCTTGTTTGAGTTCTTAAAGGCAAGACTGGATAACTTATTGAACCTGTGGCAAATGAGATTTATTTAGGGAGTGTGGGTTGAACTATACAGCAATTGAGGTCCTTCCAACTATCATTCTGTGAATTGATTATTTTTATATGGAAAATAGTCCTTTTTTCTCTAGGAAGATATAGATCTTATATGGGTCTGATTGAATTAGGCAACTTTACTCTCTTTAGTCAGGCTGAATACTGCTGAATATGTAAGAGGCGGAGGATCCAAAAATGTCTTCTGATTCATTTCCCCATCTCCAGACTGGGTGGCCTCTGAAAGAGTGGATGATTCTAGAAAGATGCTTGTCCAATCATTTAATATGCTTTTCCCTAAACCACCACTCCAGTTATTTCTTAAATTCAAATATACCCATTCTCAACTGTCTCCAGACTTCAGCATCTCACTCCAATCTGGGTGGTGGTGAATATCAGCATGTCAACCACAGAAGGAATTCTGCCTCCCAAAAACTTGGTCTGATTTCCAAAACACACAAGAGAGAACTCCTCTGGAGATGGCTGAAAATTGAATCAAGCTGCTTTAGCCTGAAATAAAATACTCTATGGGCTTTCAGCAACAAGGCTTATTGGAGAGAATAAAGTAACTCTAGCATCATGCAAAGATGAGATGCAAACACCACCCGTGGTTCAAGGCAGTGTAAAAAAAAAGATCGTCTCTTATAATGGCAACCAAATGTGCTGCACGTCTTAAATCAGCCAAGGACTCTTAATAAAGTACAAGTAGACAAATGATTCTGATTTGTGGGCCAACCAACCCGCAAATAATTATTAAATGCTTACTATGTGCTAAGTTTTTTCTAAGTATATGGGATAAAAAAGCAAAAGGGTCCCTGCCCTCAGTGTCTTCCTCTACAAAAAGAAGGGCTTAGACATACAGCTTCTAAGTTCTCTTCCGCCTTTCAGTGCTGTGGGACCCACTCCTCGTTTCCATGTTGCAGGTGATGTTAGGAATGACATCTATGTCACCCTGATCCATGGCGAGTTTGACAAAGGGAAAAAGAAGACACCAAAGAATGTCGAGGTGACCATGTGTGTGTATGATGAGGATGGCACATTGCTTGAGGTACGCTGTTGTTCATGGGGATGCACCTACCTACTCTAGGGCTTCAGAGGTCCTCTCCGATTCGTGATGACTCCACATCAAACAAAAGCAAAAACAAAACCTTCCTAACGATTGAATGTTCAGTTGTTTGAGTCGTGTCTGACTCTTTGTGACCCTATTTGGGATTTTTCTTGGCAAAGATCCTGGAGTGGTTTGCCATTCCCTTCTCATTTTGCAGATAAGGGACTAAACAGGGTTTAGTGACTTGCCCAGGCTCGCAAAGCTAGTAAGTATCTAAGGCCAAATTTGAATTCCAGTCTTCCTGGCTCCAAGCCCAGTGCTCTGTCCGCTGCACCAGCTGGCTGCCCTAACAATTAAAGGTGTCCAAAGAATCATAGCATTATAGGATAGGTCTGGAACTGGAAGGACCCTTCAAGGCCTGCAAGTCTGAATGGCATCATTTTGAGGTGGACATTGACAAACTGGAGGAACACCACATGCTCACAGGATTAGAGCTGGAGAAGATCTCAGAGCATTTTTAATCCCACCCCATCATTTTACAGATAAGGAAACTGAGACCCACAGAGGTTCAGTAGCTCACCCAAGGTAACAGGTGACAGAGAGCCAGGTCTCAAACCCGGGTCCTCAGACTCCAAATTCAGTGTTCTTTTCCCTACAACACACTGACATAGGAGGAAGTGGATTTCCTCCATTGTAGGTCCTCGGTCAGGTAAACATTGGAAAGGCTCTTGTCTGGGCTATTGTGGTCGGGATTCTTTTTCAGGTATGGCTTGGTCTAGGTGGTCACTGACGTCTCTTCCAATTGTGAAAATGCTGTGATTTTGTGATATTATCCCAGTTTGGCTGTAGCATAGAATGAATGGAAGGGAATAATTCAGAATAGTTCTGGAAAGGTAGGTAGGAACCAACTTGGGACATTTTAAACTTTATCCTGGAGGCAACAGGGAGCCATGAAGAGTTTTTTTTTAATAGGGGACTGCTATGATCAGATCTCTATTTTTGGAGTGGAGTGGAGTGGAGAGGGGGGAGGCCGGAGGCAGGGAGATGACTTAGGAGGGCATTGTGATAGAGTCGATGATGGGACTTTGGGCTTGCTTTTCCTTAGGCAAGTCACTTAATATCTATTCGCTTCAGTTTCCTCATCTGTAAAATGGGAATAATAATAGCACCTGTTTCCAGGGCTCTGGTGAGGACTGAAGGCAAAAAATAGTTGTAAAAAGCACTTAACACAGTGCCTGGCATGTTATAGAAATCATCGTTATTGTCGTCGTTATTTCACAAGTAAGAGTCTGTTAGGTTTTTCTAATGGTCGCCTCCAATGCCAAGGTTCCTGGCTTCATGACAGCGTCTTCAATACCATTGAGAGAAGTATCATTTCTTCTCAGAGCCATGGCCAAGACTCCTCTCATATACCCCAAAGCATCAGACAGCATAATTTCATGTTTCAACTTGAATTGGACATTTTCAAGCTAATGGATCATTTTCAAACATGTCAAATTCCTCAAGTCCTTGAGGGCAGATGATTGGGAACATATTTTTTTTTGCTTTTTTTTAAATTACAAATAACATTTTCTACACTTGGGTTCCCTTGGGCGAACAGAACCAAAAGTATTCTTCACTCATCTAACTTCAGAGTTGGAAGGAAACAGATCTTCTCATTTTATAGATGAAGAACCTGAAATTCAGAAGTTAAGTGACTTACCCAAGGTCACACAACAAGGCCATGGGAAACCAAAGTCTTCTGACTGTTTATCAATACCATGTCTCTCTTACAATACAATGTCTCCCATGACACAAAAATGATAATAATTGCAATAATAACAGACATATATAGCACTTTATTTTTTATTTCATTTAAGCCTCACAAATCTATAAAGTGGGTTCTCTCTAATAAGCATTAAGTGCCTACTATGTGCTAGGCACTATACTGTGTGCTGAGAATATAAAGCCAAAACAGGTACTGCCCTCCACGAGTTTACATTCTGTTTAGGGGGAGAGACAGCGTATAGATAAAAAAAGTGAAATGTAAAATATATAGAAAGCGATTTCCCAGGGTGGAAGGAGGTAGTAGCAGCTAAAAGGATCAGACAAGGCTTGCTTTAGGAGGCGGCATCTGAGCTGAGGTTTGAAGAAAGCTAGGGATTCTATGAGGTGAAGAGAAGGGAGCCCAGCTCAAGCAGAGGGGCCAGCTTGTGCCAGGACATGGGGATGGGAGCGTCATGTGTGACGAAGAGACAGAAGCCCTGGACGTCAGTCAGATCCAATAGGCATAGCAAGGTAGCCTGAAGGTAGGTTGGGAAGGGCTTTAAATGCCAAGCCAAGGAGGTGACATTTTAAAGAAGCCATTGGAGTTTCTTGAGCAAAGACCTGATGTGGTCATACGCACTCTTTAGGAATATCTATTTGGAAGCTGAGGGAGGATGGATTGGAGTGGTCAGAGACTGAAGGTAGAGAGACTGATGAGGGGGTGGTCTTTCAATAGGTCAAGAGAAGGATGACAAGGACCCGACCTAGGGTGGTGGCTGTAGCATGAGTGGAGACAAGGGGTTGGATGTGAGAGATGCCCTAGAGAGAGAAATGGCAAGATTTGGCAACTGATTAAATATAGAGGTTGAGACAGAGTGAAGAGTCAAGGATGAGAACCTGGGCTGACTAGTGCCCTCAGTGGTTTACAGAAGATAAATGATGAGATGAGTTTTGGACCTGGTGTATTTAGGATGTTTCTGGAGAATCCATTTGGAGATAAAGTCAGCAGACTATTGGTACATAGCTAGGAAGTATAATGGATAGAGTGTTGGACTAGGAGTTGGGAAGACCTGAGCTTCAATTCTTCCTCTATGACCCTGAGCAAGTCACTTAAACTATTTTAGCTTCAATGTCCTCATCTGTAAAATTGGTATAATAATAGGTTCTACCTCCCCAGATTGTAGAGAGGAACAAATGAGATAATGTACCTAAGGCCCATTGCAAACTGTTAAACATTATATAAATGTTCAGTAGTACCAGTAGTAGTGATAATGGTAGTAGTAGTAATAATTATAATTAACTACTATTAGTAGTAGTAATCTAGGTTACTAACCCTAACCCTAATCTAATCCCCAAACCACTTATTAAACTCCTGTTTTGTAACAGGCATTGTGCCAGGCTCTGGAGATACAGACATAACAAAAAACTGTCCCTACCTTCAAGGAGATTCCATTCTACTATAAATACTCTACCCCCGTTTTATGGATGAAGAAAGTGAATCATAGGTGATGTGCTTAAATCTAGGGAAGAGAAGGACTCAGGATAGTCTAGACAAGAATCATATCCTCTTTCTCACGATATTTTACAGAGGCATGTGTCTGTATTTGATAAAATGAATTTTAAAAACTCATTTATTTAGCACTTACCATTTGCTAAGTTCCCCCACACATACCCCAACTTACCATCTAGGAACTTACTTTCTAATGGAAAAAAACAGTACACATAGGGCAATGGAAGCCAATGAGGGAAGCTTTAGCTTAGAAAATTAAAGGGATGGTAATTTGGATCATAAGGAAGTAAATTGACACCTCCCATCCAGGAACAATGGCAGAATTGACTTGATCTTGGTTCATGGTTCCAAAACTATGGGAATTGGAAGGGGTGGGGGGGTGAAAAGTAAGGAGTAACTAGCCTGTTTCTAAGGAAGCTGTGGAGGAAGTGGCCAGAGAGTAGAAAGTGAAGTGAAGCATGACTGGGTCATTCCTAAAATATTGTTTTGGGAGGAGTAGTCACTAAGTTAGAAAATCAAGCCCCAGGAAGGACGTCCAACCACCATTGCTTTTCTGAACGCTAAGAGTAAAAAGGGAGAGGGGAAAAGGAGAAAAGAACAAACTAGAAGGGTGGGGGGAATGCGTAATTTTTTTTTATGCTGCCATATTTGGGCCTTTGTTGTTGTTTCCTTGTGTCCAACTCTTTGTGACCCTATTTGTTTTGTTTTTGGCAAAGATATTGGAGTGGTCTGCCATTTCCTTCTCCAACTCATTTGACAGATGAGAAAATTGAGGCAAACTGGGTTAAATCCTCAGAAAAAGTGGTAGATTGGTGCCTTTGTTCCTTTCACAATCTTTCCTGTTTCCAGCTGCTTGTACAAAATGATAGTGAAAGAGCATGGTGGCCTCATGGGGCAGGAAGGATATATGACTGGTAGTAAATGGATGGGACCTTACTGAATCTTTTATTCATTTTTATTCCTTTTTTTTTTCTATTTCCAAAGAAAGCTATCCATCCAGGTGCTGGCTATGAAGGTATTTCAGAATACAAGTCTGTTGTCTATTATCAAGTCAAACAGCCCTGCTGGTATGAAACAGTCAAGGTGAGTATGTTTACCTTGGTTAAAAGAAGCATTTCTGACATTCAATTCAACAAGCATTTAAGCACCTTCTGTGTATCAGGTGCTGTGCTAGGTGCTAGAGATACTGAAAACATGAATGAAATAGTCCTTGCCCTCAAGAAACTTACAGTCTATTAGGGGAAAACAACATGTTCATAGATAACTCAATGCAAAATGTATACCAAATGAAGGTGAGACAATTTCAGGAGGCAGTGAAGCTAACACCTAGGCATGGAGAATCCTTCCTTGGTCAATTCTGTCCTTCTGTGTATCATTACTGCAATCATACCATTGTGATGACTATTTCTCTCCTCCATATGCTCTGCCTCCATATTTCACTGCCATCCTCTTTTTTCATGAAAGTTTAGAAAGGTATTCTTGTGGTTTTCAATTTGGGATGTGCTGGAAATTAGGACAGTTTTGTAAAGCAGTCAAAGTACCCTACTGGGCAGCCATCTCTTGCCTCATATAGGAAATTCACAAAATACGGCTCCTGGCTCAGACAATGGCTGAAAAGCTACCGTCCAAATGGAAATGAAAGGGGTTTGTGGGAAGTACAGCTTCAAGCCCTTACAGCCCTTTCCTGCCATTTTCTGTCCTTGGTTTCTAATGAAATTCCCAGAACCTCATGCCAGTTTCAACATCCCATTTTATTTCCCCTTGTGTCCCATAACCTTACTTTTCTGTGCATTTGAATTTTTAAAATATCAATTAGGATTCTTTTCATTTACTGAGCACTTTGTCATCACTGGGGATTCATACAACAGGTATGTTTGCTAGGGTGGGCAGACATTTTACGGGTGAGGAAACTGAGGTTGTCATAGGCTGGGTGATTTTTCCATAGTCACATAGCTAAAAAGATAGAATTACAACTGGAAATCATAAAGGCCTGAGTTTGAATCTTGGCTCTATTACTTATTACTTCTATGATCTTAGACAAGTCACTCTTGCTTCTTTGGACCTCAGTCTCCTCACCTGTAAAATGAGGAGGTTGGACTAAAATGACCTCTGATCCTTTTAGCTGTAAATCTATGATTCCATGATCCTTCCTAATTACCTATTAGATGTGTGACTGGACAAGTCACAGCATCTCTCTGACCCTCAATTTCCTCATCTGTAAAATAAAAGGGGTTGGGCTTGAATGATAACTACGGTCCTTTCAAGCTCTAAAGTTCTGATCCTGATTCAGACAGTAGCTATGTGACCCCGGACAAGTCATTTCCTCTCTCTGGGCCTCAGATTCTTCAAGGTGTAAAACAGGTCACTGTCAGACAGTCCACCAGTATTTATTAAGCACCTTGTTTGTGTCAGGCTTGATACAAAGAAAGTCTCTCAAGGAGCTGACAGTCTAATGGAGGAGAGATCCACGTAGAGGAGCAAATGAGGCTCTGTATTTCAGTGCTCTGTAATTGAGAAGTGTTAGCACTAGCACCATCATTTTAAGGATCATTATTAAATTACAGATATTAATCCACCAGCCAACAGACGTCTTCCGTGGACCCTGGACTTTTGACTCTCCCTGCCCCACTTCCATCCTTAACATACTTCGGTGTCACTCTCTTTCCTCTCTTCTCTCCCACTGATCCTCGTCTCCCATCCTCCCTCTGTTCTCTCTTCAGTTCTATCTTTTGGGAGCCCCCTATAGACCACAGAAGCCCTGTCCTCATTCTTTTCCAAAGATTCAAGCCATGCTAGCTCCTTTGTCTTGAAGTCCACACTTTATTTTTCACCTGTTGTTTCCATAATGGCTCTCCTTTCATTAAACCCTGCCCCCCCAATTACAATAAAAACTAAGATTAAGAGAAAAAAAGAAAATCAGTTATAGAATCAATGGATGAATGAGTGAACGAATAAGTGCTGTGTGCTGAGGAGGCACTGAGAATACAAAGACAAGTCAGACGGCTCAAGGAGCTCGCATTCTAATGGATGGGGGGGAGCCACAGCACGTGTGGAAGGGTTCAGCTGCAAGTTGGATGGAAAAGGCTCAAGGTCCTCTGGCATGGAGGCATGAGCAGATGGTCAGGCCTCTTCTTTAATATCATTTCTCCTCATAAAGTCGGAGTGTTTTCTGATGTAAAAGCAGTTGACCGCACCTAGGACTTTGGTGGCAAGAACTTTCTTTTAGGGTCTTGGGTAACTGGAACTAAGACCTGCAGAAGTAGTTGCAAGGTCAAGTCTCCACAAGGGCTGGGGGTGGGACCAGTAAACTGGGGCCTACAGGCATCCCTGGGAGTCTTGGACTTACCTGCCCATTAGTGGCAGTTGGTCAGCAGTTGATATTGGTGGCAGTGAGGAAGAGGGGCCCTTTTTCTTTTCTTTTTTTTCTTTTCTTTTTCTTTTTCTTTTTCTTTTTTTTTTTTGGTGAGGCAATTAGGGTTAAGTGATTTGCCTAGAGTCACATAGCTAGTGAGTGTTATGTGTCTGCGGCTAGATTTGAACTCAGGTCCTCCTGACTCCAGGGCCAGTGGGGGTGGGGGGCTTTTTCTGGTCAACTAGTACTTATTAGAGCCTATGATGTGCCATGCACTGTGTTAAGTTCTAGGGATAAAAGTAAGGCAAAAGCCCATCCCTACTCTCAAGGAACTCACAATCTGATGAGAATCTAATTCTCCATGTTGGCTATGGGACCCAGACTGGAAGTAGTACTGGGTGGTCAGGGGAGTACTGCTATTCCCAAGGCTCTTGGGTTTAGAGTCCTGGGCTCTCTCCTTTGGGTCCAAGGTGAGGTGGTATTCAAGGTGGTGATTTGGCCTTTCATCTCTGCTCCACCTCCTTTTACTGTTAGATACATACTCTCACTGCATTGATTGCATTGAAGTCTGGGTTTGGAAAGTCTTTAAATGAGGAAGAGCCTTGACTAGTTTTTCCTACCCAGTTCACTTTAGTGGAAAATGACATTTTCCATCAGCTGCTCTGCTGCGTTTGACTCTCAGGTGCACTATGTCCTTTCCTCCACCCCATCCCCCTTCCCCCCACCCCCCAGGAAAAACTGAACATATGAATTCTCATCACCATGCAGATGGACTCAGGTGTTGATACTCAACTCACCTTCAGTTGCCTGGCTAGAGATTCTCTGACTAGAGATTCATTAAAGGTTACCTTGACAGCTGATCAGAGATAGGAATGGTGTGTTGTGGGCCTCCAAATCTTCACCCAGATTGAGGTGATGCTAAGGCAGTTCCCAGATTGGGGTGCTGATGGCGCAACTCCAAAGATAACTCCCCAATTTTCCCTTTTGGTATGGAAACACTTCTAACTCTAATACATGTTTAAAATGTTCCCTCACTGTGTGTGCAGGGCGGGAAGGGACATTCAGAATGATGGGAGCAAGGTGGTACCTGTCACTTTGTTCCAAGATTTTTGCTTTGAAGTCTTTGAGCACAATCATTGCTTGAGAGGAATGAGGATATCTGATTCTGATATTCTGATTTCTTATTTATTCAGGGTTACCTAGAAAGAGGGTCTTTTTTAAGATTCTAGATGTAATATATGGACTTTGGAGCCCAGAGGGACACTTATCCATGCAGTTATAATTGAAAGGGGAGAGAGAGAGACCTCAGCTGGTTTTCGGAGTAAAAGAAAAAGAAAAAAACAACACTTTAAAAACGTTAATATAATAATATAATGTAGATATATTTTACTGAACTATGCATTGAACCAGTACCTGTTCCAAAACCACCTAGCAAACCAATTCAAACTAGAACTGAACTATTGTTTTCCATTAAAAAAAATTGATTTTTTTTCTCCCTACCCTCTGCCATTGAAGAAAGAAATTAATAGAGAGAGAGAAAGAGGGAGGGAGGGAGAGAGGAAGGAAGGAAGGAAGGAAGGAAGGAAGGAAGGAAGGAAGG